TCGATTGTAACAGTGAAGATAAAAAGTAAGGTAAAGGAAGCGAACGCATGCGGAAGCCAAAAAGCTTTCTGTTGTCAGGAAAATCCTGATCTTTCATGATAGAATCTACTTCTGACAAAATCTTCATCGAGTAACACAAAAGCAGTAGCTGTGATCTCCAGTTTTCTCCATTGGGGAGCAATATTTCTCCTTTTTCATTCTTTGGACTGAGTGGGTGGTTTTCAACAAGTGAAAATGGACGACTCGTCAACCCAGCATCCATCGTGTGTGAATCACCAATGGAGTGGTTAATTAACTGTTGAATGATACGTGAGCGCTGAGCAACAAACATTTCATAGCTTACAGGATACCCTGCGGGCCCATCTGGAGGACTTGAAGCAGCATGTGTAAGGGTAACTATGGCATTACGCCATATTGATGGACCAAGATATCTACTGATGGACTTCAATAATGGTACATCACCAAGATCTCTAGATTGTGTGTCAATGCGGTCAACATAAAGGACTACATCAGGACTGTGTTTCTTCATATATTTCTTTATGGACAGCAAAGTTCTCCGGTTAATGGATTGTTCCGGCAGGGAAGAACTGAGACCAGGAGTATCTAAGATGTTCAATGTAACTCCATTCAGTTGTCCAATAATCTCCTTCACATTTGTAGTTGCAGGTACAAATGCATCTACTATTGATTTGGCTTCACCAAAGATAGAGTTTATTGTAGCACTCTTACCAACTCCTGTTTTACCAATCACCAGGATATTCAGAGAAAAGTTCAAACTGTCTGGATCCTCTGCTTCTAACTCCATTGCTACCTTCTCAGCAGAGTCAAGGCTGGATGCTTGAGAGGCTGACTTCCCTGCCGCACGAACTAACTGGTATAAGACCTGTGCAGCTACAGAATCTTCACGAGACCGGTTTAGCTTGTGGATGAGCCGCAAATATTTCACTCTTAACTGTTGTAACTTTTCAAGCTTCTTCGTTTCTTCTTCACTCAAAATTTCTTCTGATATACCTTCAGTCTTATTCTCGGATAGGGTGAAACTGTCTGCATTGGTTGGCTGAGCAGGCCGAGATGAGTGAAATGTGGACCCCGAGCTACTAGGTAGCTCCAGAGAAAAAACCCGTGTACCATCAGCAGATGGAATTGTAATATTTCTACCTTCAGGTCCAACACCGGCAGCAGCCATCAGCAGCGCAGACAGTGCTTCTGCATCAAACATCTCTTTTCCTTCACTTTCTCCGTCTGTGTCTACCTCCTCATCTGAGTCTGTCACAATCTCACCATCAACCTTTGGTAAATGACCCCGAGACACCTCTCCATCATAGTCAGCAGTGGCTATTCGGTGGTCCAACTGATCAATGATAAGTTTCATATCATCTGATCCTTCCAAGGTCAAACTTTCATCATTTTCACCTAAGAGTGAGACTTCTTCACTTTTGAACAATTTGAGAGGATGAATGCCTTTGTAGTTGGTTTCTAAGTAGTCTGGATTTAAACAATCCTCTGTGTGTTGTGTTATATCTGATAACTTTGGCACGTCATCTTCCACTGTGGAGGACCAAGTTACATCTGATGAAGAGCTTGGACTAGAATATATTTGTTCTTCAGCTGTTGGCGGTACTGAAATTTCAGTGCATTCCAAGCTATCGACTTCACTATTCTCAGTGAGTTTATGACAAGATTCAGTTTCAGTTTCAGTGGCAATATCCTGACAATCACTTCCTTGATAAATCTCTTCCTCCGTACTCTCTAAATTCTGACTGTCCCCCGAAGCTCCAGTAAGCAAGACGACACTGTTTCCACAGTTCAGTTCATCAGCTCCGAAGTTTGATACTGTATTTTCTTCCCTTGGGCTGTTGTAAGTAGTATCAGAAGGCTTAACATCACGAAACAAATCTGCACTTTTTGGCTCTGCATTACTATCAAGAATTTGACTTGCTTCTGTTAAAAGCTTTCCGTCATTGTCTAACTCTTGTCCCAACAAAATAGATTCTTTACTTGCAACCTGATACACGACTTCTCCTCCTTCAAAAGTACCATCGGCGTCACCTCCCTCCGTTATGAGATTCTGAACAGTGTCAATTTCAGCTTTATCCTCTGCTTTAGTCCAAATCAAGTCCTCTGCCATTCCAGATTTTATCACATTTCCAAGCTCTAATTCACCCTCCTCGCCATCCGAAACATCTGAGATTCTAACTTTAGGGGCACTATCTAACCTCTCCAACACCACATCATCCGGAATTCTAATGGCACCAAGAACATCATTCTCTTCTGGCAAACCGGTGCTCAAGTACTCATCTTCACTGTCCCAAGACAACTGTGCCCGAATGCCTCGAGTTGGAATCGAAGGAATCGCACTATTAACAACATCAGTTCCAGCAAAGGAAACATCTTTATCAGACCCCTCCAATGATGTTCCGATAGCTACCTCATTCTCCCCATCCACAACAAAAGACCTATCACTATATTCATCAATACTATCAAGTCCTTCAACAATTTCCCTATCTTTAACAAAAGGTCTATCAATATATTCGTCATTACTATCTAGTCCCTCAATGGTATCTGCATAAGGGTCAGTCAAAGAAGACCTAGAGTCATCATATTCACCCACACTGCTACCAGTTTCTTCATCTGGGATTTTCACAAATGGTCTAGAAACAACAAATTGGTTAACAAAATGAGTATTTTCAAGATTCTGCTCATCAGAGTCAGACACAAAAAGCCTCTCAGAAGCAGTCTCAAAATCATCCTCACCACTAACAAAGCCTTCAGACTCAAAACCAGTGTCACTACCATAATAACTGCTTGTGGAACTAGTATTCATTTGTCCATTAGAGTATTCAAAGTCAGAATCATCAACAGTAAGAGGAGCTCTAATACCTGTAAAAAGAGGGACCTTTGCAGGAGGTGGGGTCCCTTGTATTGTGGAAAGTGGAACACCATAAATCTTTGAGTCCATGGTAACAACAAAATTTTCTTTTTTTTAGTCCCTACCTTTCTTTATATAAAAACATACACAAGAACACAAAAAATAGAAAAGGGGTATCAAGAAAATTTGAAAAAGATTGAGTCTTGGGGCTTTGGAAAAGATGGTGATGTATGGGGTTAGGTTAGGGTTTGTTTTTTGGTGTATTTCAAGATTGGTGTTTTGTGTTTGTTTTTGGTGTATGAGCTCACAATTGGTTATTTGGGGTATTTGGTAGGTATAGTGGTTAGAGGAGAAGCTTACACATGAACATAGATAAGGCTGGGGGTTGTAATTTTCTTGGAGGTCTTTTCGGCTCATTTCAAAGTTGAAACCTTCTTCTTTATGCCTCCTGTCACCTGTGTGTATATTGTATAATAAATCATACACGTGCGAGTCACGTGACTCCTGTTACTGACTATTTCACCTGTTAATTTAATTCCTTCCAAAACTTCCTATAATAAAACCGAACGTGGATTGCAACTTCTTTTCTGTACTTCAATTGCTAAATTTTGTGCAAGTTCTTGTTATATTATTTGTCACTTCCTTTCTAATCAGGGGCGGATCTATATACTTGATTTGGGGTGCCACGCCACCTGGTCGAACCGTTAAATTTTTATGCACGTACTGGTATTTTACATAAGCTTGGCACCCAAAGTACTAAATTGACTCCAGATGCCATGGTTAAATTGCTAGACCTCCAAGCAAAGTACGCAAGATCGGATCCCTTTGGATTTCAAAACACGTTCACTTTTCTGTGTTCTTGCTTATTCCATTTTCTTTCATTTCTTTCTCAATTACTTTTTTTTTTAATGCATGCATCTTTGTATTTCCTCTCTTTATACAATCCCATTTTATGTATTAAAATATAATTTTTCCTTCCGTTTTTTCCAAAATCTTCAAAATTTTGTTTGAATGGTGATTTTTATTATTCTCTTTTTATCCATATAACGTTATTCCCTGATTTTCAAAATTTTCTAAACTGATGGCATCAATACACATAACATTAGTCTAGTCATATGAAGATTGAAGCTGTGTATTTGCTGATTTAAAACTTTATTTTTATTTTATATTTTTAATCATATTATTCAATAGAAGTTAAATCGAAAGAATTAGATCGAAGTGGACAAAATTTATTTAATTTGGTGATCACTTATTTATTTATGCACCAAAAATCTTGTAAATCAAAATAGATTAATTTAAAGTGGATCGAACCAACCGAACCGAATCAATTCAAAGCGGATTGAACCGACTAAATGTATACCCTAATCCAATCTCCTTCACTAATGATAAATAATGGCACCCGTAGTCATCAAATCCTTGATCCGCCTCTGTTTCTAATAGATTTTAAGTTGCCATTGTTGTTTTTGTTGTTATTTTTTCGAAAATGGTAACATTGTTTTTGTTGTTATTTTTATTAGGAATGAATGAATTAACCGATAGTAAGTTGTGAAGTTGTATAATTTTGACTTCTCGGTATGTAGTTAATTGACAAAAAGGAAAAGACAAAGAAAAAGAAAGAATCATTAATGATTTTGATTTTAGATGTTAATTCTTGAAAATTTTGTAAATTGATTAAAACCATCAATTGAATATGGCAGGCATGGCAAATGTGTTGGCACATGTAGGGTGAGAATTTCTCATTTTCTCTCCCTCTTATGAAGCTTTCCTGCCCTTTATTTGCTAGCTGTTAAAGAAAAAAGTGTGAAAGAATAATCACCACTTAGATCTCATGTAAAAAAGATGAGATATTCCCACGGTAAGAATAAGACACTAGAAGTAAGAAAGAAAGCTAAGAATTCCATAAAGGACAGTTTCAAATTTGCCTTAATCCAAAGAATGCAAAAGAACAAACCACCCCAAACTAATTGATGATAGACTCAGTTCTTGGCAAAATGTCTACAGTTAAAACGACTTGCATTAAATTTACAGTTAAAAACTACTGATGTATTAAAGCAAATTCGAAATGGTTCCTAACCTGATCAGAGACCACTACAGTTTTAGGGCGAAACATGAAGCGAAGACACAAAAAGCCTAAAAACGAAAATTATGCTCTGTTCGATGTAGTATTTACTCCTATATATGAACTTGCACAGTATTTCTAGTTTCCTGTGTTAGATAAACAAAAAGCTTTCTTGTCAATGGAAATTCAGTGGGGATTCACCTCATAAAATGAGCAGCAATAAATGTAAAACCTAAAAATCACTACATAGACACCATCTGTGGGGCAAGAACCACATATTTGTTTTACAACAGATGCCCGAGAGAAATCAATGTCGCAGAAAAACCATAAGCCAACACTTCAACCATCAATTTTCCTTTTCTTCTTTGATTTTTGTTCTTGAGATTGATCCAAGGACCCTGAAGTCAATGCACTATGATCCCTTCCTGAATCTTGAGCAGATTGGTCATTGGATTTCGCAGGGCCATCACGGTGTTTTCTCTTGGTAGATTTTGATGGTTCCCCTGCTTCAGACAGAGAGCTTCTGTTTCTGCTATTGGAAGGAGTATAGCCACTCGCTGTTCGCATACTCCGAGTCCTGTTACTTTGAGTAGGAGTTGCAAAGCGACGAGATGAATTGGTCAATGTAGTAGCAGACGACCGCTGAGCCATCTGCTTCAAGTTTATGCTGTTCTGTTTAAGCTCACTTGGCTCTGGGTAACGGATAAGGGAAACACGCCGTGAAATTTTCCCAGCTGCCAAAACATGCAAAAGCATCAGATATAGTACTGAGTCACATTAGCTTCAGTACTCCCATGACAACAATGCGTGGTACAACATAATGGTCTGTCCTACTCAGAAATTAATCCCAAGCCGTAATAGAGAAAAATAAGATTATGAAGCCTCAACTGTCAATAGAATAGCTTTGACTTGAAAAACATCACAAAAGAACATATAGATATGCCATATCCAAAGTGACATTACACGTTTCGAGTGGCGTGAGATTATATGAGTGAATAAACAGATATATGGATAGCAATATGCAAAGGAACTTTGTATTTTGAAAGAAATGCCGAGTAGGAGTTACCAATTTTTGTCTCAGACTCAGAAGATATAAAGACCGTCGCATCTAGGTCCAGCGCTCTACAACTGACCACTTCATATGATTTACCTGTTACAAAGGCAATCGTTGAGAAAGATGGTAGGAAATTAAAAGAATCTTTCATTATCTTAAAAAGCCTATACGAACACTAGAGGCGCTGAGGTGGGGAGATAACCACAATTAGATGTAAATGTTACATCTTAAGACTATACTTGCCAGATGAATCCTCAAAGCTGCCCATATGCCCATCATGATGGAGCTTCAACGAAACTTCTCTCCCATCAAAATCTGGATGCTGGAATAGCCAATTGGAAATGCAATAACACAGAACTGATATAAGTGACAGTGACTGAAAATATACTAACACGTCCTACATTAAGAGTGATTCTGTTCAAATTCAATTACTGAGCAAATCAGAATTAGTCTCCTCACAGAACATGGTAACTTCAGTGCATGAAAGTCAAAAAATTCATGTTCTACTATGTCCCATCACCAATCCTCTCACGTAAGCTCACTCTTTGTTAGGAAACTAGGGAAGGATGGGAATCCCTTAGTGTTGCTTGTTCAGAGAAGAAACAGAGACAGAAAATCTCTCGATTCATTGGATATTTTTCACTAAAGTGAGGGAAATTATTAATTTGAATAATCTTCTTTTTTCCTTTATCCTGATAAAGTAATTTTTTTATCTTTACCAACCAAATATTCACTTATAGACTTCAGCAGCTGATTTTCCTCCCTGAAATCTCTTCTTTGCTCCCCAACCACGCGAAGAAGAGAAAATGTCTCAATTTCTTAATCATTTTCCACTCTTTACCCCTTCCTTCCCAATTTCCAGACAAAACATCAATTTAAGGATTAGAAAATTATCTTCTAGATGATGAAAGAAATTCTTTTTTTCCTTTTAATATTAAAATAAGACCTCATAGATGAGCAAAGGCATCGAGGAGATGCATACATGGGTGAAGAAGAGAACTAAGATTGAATCAGAGACAAATAATGTACATTAGACTATGATAATGTGACTAAACCTATATAGATATTGTAAGTACCTTGATCTCCTATTATCCAATTGTGATTGAATTATTAAAAAAAACATGCACCTTATTACATCCTAAAAGCGGAAGAAAACGTAATCCTCGTGAATCTTACATGATTTAAGGGCCATTGGATAAGCCAGAGCTCAGTTGAGTCTGCTAAGTTAAGATTAATAAGTAAATCCTTTTTGACCTCCTCAAATTCTGGGGGAGGTTTGTAGCTAAGTTCTTTCGGAGGATCCATAATAACGAAATATAATCAATAAGAGCGTTTATTCTCGAAGATTGCAGACCAAGCACCTCCTTAACCACAGGCCTACACAGAAAAGCAAAATCAGCAATTCAGCATAAGATAGCTCAAAATTGGAAAATAATTGGAGAAGGTAACAGATCTTTGACCATAGCAATAAATAAACGATCCAATCGTAAACTTACTAAGACTATCAAAACTGCAGCAGGTTAAATTTGAAAAGAGTTGCACAGGCACAAGTCTATCGGATGCTCCAATCACTTGAACTTCGAAACACGAACTTCTACTAATTAATTTTAGAATATTGGACGAGGGCAATCCTCAGTGGTGGATGTAGCTACCAAGCTACGTGTTCAACCGAACCCATAAATTTTAAAAGTGCAACGGGTTTATTGATAAGACCATAAGGACAACCCATCAAGTTAAAATCCTGAAATCCGCCTCTGGTAATCCCAGTTGCCTACGCCCCAGGCTAGTTTGCACTTTCTGTCTGATAAACTAAGTTCAGTTTCCTTGACTCAGTGAGGTAATCCTTGTTAAATTCATTTTATGGTTTGGTTTGTTCAGTTTTTCTATTTACCTTAATACTATGATTCTTGTTCTTAATAACAGGATAGTGAAATAAATCATCATCCAAATAGAGGTATTGCCAATGACTTGTTACCCTATTCACATACTGTTTCTTTCCCCAATAGCTGTCCTCTCATTCACAAATAGAAATGATAAAACTAGCAAATCCAGTAAAGCAGCCACTACAATTTAGAAGCAATGCTTTTCTATTATATATGCTTAAGCAGACACTAAAATGCTTTTGGAGCAACATGCTTAGGGTTTCCACTTTGTACACTATTCTATATATTAGAGAGAGAGATTACCTGCGCCGGAGATTGGAGAGCAACCGGGCGGCGGAGCGAGGCAAGGGCGGCTTTAGGGTAAGGCTGGCGAAACCCTTATCTTATGCCCCCAATATTTAAGGCCCCCAAAAAATATGGAACCCATTCCATTGCACACGGAGCTTAGAAAAAAGAGAAAGATTTTTGAACTTGTGGTATAAAATGAGTCACATATTTTTTGTGTGACTATAAATCATTACATAAAGGTTTTCCAAATAAGAAATTGAATTTTTTTTTGGCACGGATTATGAATAAAATAAGTTCACATAAATTAAAATAAAGGGAGTATAATTTGTAGTTATACATTAGTTAATAAAAAAATTCAAATTTTAATAGTTTTTTTAAATTTGATAGAGATAGGTTTGAATGAGCTACTCCTTCCGATCCACTTTATTTTATTTTTTCATACATATTAAGAAATTCATCTTTTAACATTAATTAGCAATAAAATTGACTATATTGATCATTACTATCTCTTTACATTTTTTTATTTTATTTTATGTTTAACATAATACCATTTTGGGATTTGGGATGTGATGATTAGCAATTCTCATAACTCGAAGCAACCGGCAAAACTCATTGAAAACTTTGTGAGAATCAAAGACTATTTCAAATTTTCAACAAGAAATCTCAATTTGTCATGTAATTTCAATTTTAAAACGCCAACGAACTATTAAATTGGAGCAAAAAAAATTCAACATTTTCTCTCTAGTTTTATTTTACAAAAATAATTAACATGAATTGTACACGAGATTTTATAACAAGTAGTACGTGGACTATTAGAGAAGTGAAACGCAAATCTTGGATGGATGAATCCAATTGCAATGGAAAATAAATATAACACATACTCCAACACTGTTTACTCCAAGGGTAATTTTGAAAATAATAATTAATTCACTCTTGAAATCTGAAAAAATTAAATATTATGGACCACAAAAAGGGGGCCAAAAAATCAGATAACGTGGATGGAGGGAGTAATATGATAAATCTTTTCTCTCATTAAATTAAACAATATACTTACCTTTTTATCAATTTTACTTCTTTTTTTCATGTTTCTCGCGATTTTACTTTCTAATTTTAATACAGATTCTCTAAAATTCCTTTTGGCACACTCATACGTCAAAAAAGCAAGTTCTTTTGTGTCTCTTTTTTTAAGTAAGAGATGTTCGAGGCAAGTGTCGCCATGTTAAAAAAAACTCGATGAGTAATGCCCTCACCCCTTTATTATTTTCACTTAATACCATATTTTTATATAGAGGAGAATTTAATGTAATAATGCGCGCCTATCGACACATCATGCGTATGCGTTGCGTTCTCACATTAGGCCATTTTAGAGTCTTATTATTCTATTGGATTTTATGAAAAAAGTTCAAGCGTCTTTGATATATTTTAATTGTAGCCACCAGTTTCATTGAGACCATTGTCAGCACGAACATGTTGTTCAACCAACTTCATTCGCATTTGTTAACTGAATGGCACATTCGTTGTTTAGTGTTATTGTCATTGTTCTCTTATCTTAATTGGAACTCTATAAAATTTAATTGAGAATGTCAAGAATGGATAGTGGCTCAAGAGGGAGCCTAGTAAAACCTTGATTTAGGCCTTCAAGATTTTGAGGCTCAAATAATTTTTAAATGTAATTTTATGATTTTATTTTAGCTTAGACAATATTAAAGTTTGCAGAAAAATAAAAAGTATATAATTTTTGTAAAACAGAAAGAAAAAGAGATTGTCTATTCCTTAACAGTTAAATTAATTAGAACCTTGAATTAAATTAGTTATATTTTCGTATTGGTAAATATAATTTTTTACAACAATACCAAAAGAATTATATTGTAAATACATACCTAATATTTTATTTATTCAAATTATCGTTTACTAATATAAATAATATTATTACTATGTAAAGTTATAGATTTTATATTATTTAAGAATATTATAACAATAAGCACGAAAAACGGGTAATAATAATTTTTTGCATATGTATGTGTACATACATATATGAATTCTAGAATAAAAATGTATAAGGTTTTTTATTAAAATTTGACTTTAGGTTATTGAGCCTCCATTAGAACGAGGTCGAAGGTCTTGGAAGTGGCACGTATGCGGAGCATATATTTGGGAATAAAGAGTCAAATAATAAACCCTAAGAGCACTTCATGTTTTGCCTTTTATTATACCTTATAATTAAGTTATTATTATCAGTTTGTGATTTAGAAATATTATTTTACTCCTTCAAATTTACTTAAAAATCAAATTAACCCGCAAACTATAAATAATTGTGTCCCTTCTATCTAATTAAGTTTTTAAATACATATTTTATTTCTTATCAACATTTATCTCTTTATTCTTACTTTTAATATCTCTCCTGTAATGAAGTGTGTAACTGTTTTTTGTGCAACAACAAAGTTAGCTTGAAGAAAGGAGATTCAATAATATAAAATTATTCTATTTATATATATGTAATAATCAATTTTTTTAGGTTATACATTTATTGAATTTCTTTGACATGAGAAAATATTTTAGCAAAGTGAGTTAAAAAATTACTCTAATCATATTTAATATATATATATTGAGTTGGAATGAAAGGGTTAGAGTTGTCAAAACGGGTCAGCCTAGCTCAACCCAGCCTGGGCTTCGTGGGCTTATAAATTTGGTGGGCTAGGATGGGCCGGCCCGATACCGAAATGGACCTTAAAATGGCTAGGATGGGCCCAGCCCTAAGAGGGTCGTGGACTAGGGCGGGACGCCCCTCCAATTTTTTTCTTCTAATCTTTAGATATTTTTTCGTGACATAGTCTCTTAATCATATGAACGACTTCTGTTTGTTTAGAGGGTACAAGAATCTTCATATTTGACAAGGAAATCTCGCAATTGAAAAGCAAATTCTCTATATCTCTAAATCTTCTTTTTTAACGTTACATGAATATTTTTTTAATACTTTTCTTTCACTTTTCTCAGGTTCAGGGATTGCTTCAATGGTTTATATGTGGAGGGTTTTACTTTAGGTTTAACATCATTTGTTGATTTCATCATTATAGTCCATAAAAATTTTAAAATGCATGAAGTTTGCTAGTGTTGTCAATTTTCTTTGGGTATTAAAACTTGACTATTTTCTATATTGAAGAGCAGTTTAATTATTAATAATATATTAAAGCAACAAAACTGATCATTGGCCACTTAAAGTAATATATTTTTATGAAAAAGATATTATTGGCCACTTAAAACTTTCATGGTTCGTTGTTTATTAAGCAAAATAAAAACTAATCTTATCATACTACATGCATATCGAAAATCTAAATTCTAGTTGACATGGAAGAGTAAATGAACTAAGGTTGAAGAATGGGGATTATAGTTAATAATGTTTTTAATTTTTACTTTTATTAAATATTAAATATCTAAATTTGAATTTAATTAATTTTGGCCTACGGGCCATCCCAGACATAGCCTCGATCAAGCATCAAAGGTCAGCGAACTGACTTGGGGCGGACTTATAAGCCTCAGTTTAAATCAGCAAAAAAATTTCAAATCAACCCTACCCAAGTAACGAGTTGGATTGGGCTAACCTCACGAGCGAAGCCCGTTTTAACGGCTCTAGAAAAAATTTTTCTTTTAGGAATTTTTACATTCCTATACCATATAGGAAACCTTATTACCCTCAATTTTTAAGGTTTGATATAATTACATTTAGCATACCAAATTACCAATTCTATACCATAGTGTATTTTAAGGGTACAATTAATGCAGCGTATATCCCTCCTTAATTCAAGGTACCGTATATCCCACCCCTCCCACGTTTCTCTCTCCCAAACCTTCACCCTCACCCACGTTTATGTACTGTTATTAAACATAAAAACCTATGATTATGGAAACATAGATTTGCAACATTACGTTTATGTAGTCATCAGTTCAGCTCCAAGTCCAACACTTCATTTTTCCCAGGTCGTTAAAGTCATCTTCGCAAACACCAGTGTGGTTACCATCCTGGACTAGAATCTTTAGATCTAATAGTCTAATACTATCACAAACATAAAAATCCAGAAGTAACAAAACAATCTCCATCAGACAATAGATTCTACATGTATAAGTGGGAAAGAGGGAAAGAAAATGCATTTACGGAATAATGGTAAATAGTAGGGACTGTCTAAAAAACCTCAAAGAACCATTTACGAATTAGGATTATACTTGATATATATCATGATATTAAAGTATGAGATCACATAGGAAAAGATTCAATCAAATATGAAGTCTTCCAAGTTTGACTACTCCTCAATAGCCAACAATCCCATTCAATTGTAGCTTAATTGGTATTTTCGACATAATTGCGTTTTTTGCAGAAGATTTTGTAGAAGTTTTAGTCGTTTTGGATTTGTGAAAACAGAAAATAATGCATCTACAATCAGAATACAAATAATCTACAATTCATCTACAAAATATCTACCAAACTGGGGTACATTGAATTTTTATATTCTATTCATTCTCATTTCAATTGTGTACATGAATTGGGATTTTCATAATTGCGTTTTTTCTAGAAAATTTTGTAGTAGGTTTAGCCGTTTTTTTATTGTGAAAACAGAAAATAACACATCTACAATCAGAATACAAATTAATCTACAATTTATCTACAATTTTCGTGCAATATGTTCGTCTTCCTTCTTCTTCTTCTTCGAGTTTCAATATGAAATTCCAGTCAAAACCAAGTCCTAATCTTCACCAAAACCCTCAAAATTGAGATATAAAATTCCAAACCATATTCCCGATATTTTTCAACAAACACCCAAATTCCAAACTAAATAATGGTTTTTTTGAAAAGTCCAAATTTGAATTTCAAAGCTTTCAAGCGTTTTTAATGGTTGTCAATAGTGGAATTGCTGCTCTCTTTTCATTTGCTTTGTATTACTGAAATTTGCGATTGAGAAATAGAGAGAGATGTAGAGAGAATGTCGACGGACTGAGCTTTTGCAGAACTGATTTCTACAATTTGATTCGAATTTGTTGACGATTTTGTCTTTTTTTGATTTGTGGCTTAAGGAAAAATATCGAAGAACAGAGTTTTTGCAGAAAAGAGTCTATGTAATTTAATTTTAAATTGAAGATATAGGATTTGCGTTTCAAATTTGATCTGAAGGTCGCTAAATCAATTAGAATATTATGTTCCTAATTTGTAGCGCGCCTAATTAGGAAGATTCAGCTACTAATAATTAGTATTTAATGAATGGTATAATAATTATAGAAAAACTGTAAACATAGCGGGTAAATTAGAAACTATGCATATATTTGATAATAAAGTTTCATATATGGTATAGGAAGGAAAAAATCTATTTATTTTAACACTGGAAAAAAATTGTATTATAGTAATAAGTCAAATGAAAAGTTCAAGTCAAGAGGTGGGTAGTAAAGTGAAATGCTCTTGCTATTTTATCCTTAATAAAAAGCATAATGCTATAATGATTATAAAACAAAAATAAAAAAATTGCAAAGTCACATTTGAGTGTTGAGGTCCAAACTCCATAACCATGGCGGGAGCTTACAGCACTTCACCATGTTTCGTTCGACCTCACGCTCTCCTTTCAAGGAAACCCCTTTTGCTAGCATGTGCCGTAATTACACCGCGCCCAAGAAAACTCACAAAGAGAAAAAACTATCTCCGTCCAAAAATACTCAGAACCCTAACTAAACAGTACATAAACCCCCGAACTGAACCAATAATAAGTCCCCTTGAAACCCCAATTCAACACACCCACATTTTGCCTTCTGACCAAGTCACCGGAGACGAGCTGAAACTGCCGAAAAATCAAGAACTCCGGCTGCCGGAAGTTTCAGAGCCCGCCGGAGTTGTTAATGACACTGCAGGTACTTTCTATGAAACCCCACTTCAACAAACCCACATTATTTCCTCCGACCTAGCCGCCAGAGACGAGCTGAACACGTCGGAAAATCAAGAACTCCGACTGTCAGAAGTTTCAGGCCCTGCCGGAGTTGTTAATGCATCTGCAGGTACATTTTTCTAAAACCCTGTAGTGAATTTTGATGATTTATGCTATAAAAGCTAAAACTTTTAAGACCTTAATGGCTGTAAAAAATGAGTTGTTGATGCAACTACAGGTGTCTTTACTAAAAGCTCGTTACTGAAATTTGGGTTGTGGGTAGTTGGAGCCTTTGTACTTCAAACGGTTTGTGCTGTTTGGGTACTTGGTTCAGCTGATTATAGTGTAAAAAATGGAACTTCGGATCGTAATGGCTATAAAAAAGAAGTCCTGGATTTGGATTTGGATTTGGATTTGGAAGGTAAAAGTAAGCACAAATTGAGAATGTTTATGAATGGAGACGGAAAGCAAAATGGTGAAAATGGGGGTATTGTATTTGTGGATGAGACTGAAATGGAGAAAAAGATCAAGGTAATTCAACATATGGCAAGGGAGGCAAGAGAGAAGGAGAGATTGGAGACGAAGGGAAGTAACGTCGATGAGGAGAGCGAGGATGAAGAAGATAGTGATGTTAAAATTGGAATAAAGAAGGAAGTTGACGAACGATTAATCAAGATGAGAAAGAGACTGGAGAAGGGTAGCGACAAGCAGCCTGCAAATTCTGTTAATTATCCAAGGGTGGATGTTGATAAAAATGGCAGGAAAGATGGTGTTAATTTGGATGAGAAAGAGCGTAATGCTGCTTTAATATTTAAAAGAAAGCATAAATTTAGAGATTTCGGCAGTAAGCCAAGTAATAAACCAAAGGGTTTTGTGCCCCCTGAACATCCAAGTGATGGTACAAATGGAGAAAAAACCGTGGAAGGCAACACTGAAGTACTGAAGAACGGAAATGGAGAAGGTGGAGTCGATGTGTCAGGCGATGATGAGGTAGACCTGTTCACCCTTGATTCTCACAGAGGTGCTATCATGAATTTTGGTGAAAGCATAAAGAGAAAAGAGAACACTGAAGAGGCAGAATCCAAAATACCTGTACAGATGAAATCATCCGAAAACAACCTGAGGCGGAAAAAAGGAAGGAGTATTGAAAAAGTTGAAGGTGGAAAAGTTGATGTTGTCAAATCTGTCAAGAAGAACTCATTGGAGACGAGAGGGTGGAAGAAAAAAAGAATTGCATCAGACTTGGAGGAATCTGAACCAGGAATCGGTAACATTCTAAAACCCTTTTAACTGGCTTCATTTTTATGTAATGACACGCTTTATCGCTGCCCAAGGTTTGTATCTATTGATTACCTTCTGAAATTGTACTTTATAGTGTTAAACCTTTATGTCTTTCACCTATTGAGTAACTGCTGAAAAACAATGAGAGAAATCTTGGAACCAATTTTGTCTCTTGTTACACTAGTTCCTGTAATCAGCGAGAGATGCATTTTAATGTACTGCACTGTTTGGTTGTAACCTACAGATATTTCGGTAGATAGAAATAATGGGAGCAGTTTGTTTGAAGCTGTAGACTCAAAAGAACCAATGCAGGAGACAGGAACTATTTCAAATACTGGAAACACTTTGGTTGAAGTTGTGGACTCAAAAGAATCACATAGTATGAAGAGTACTACAACAATGAACGGACACAAGAAGTCAAATCGAAATGGAGCTTCAAAGATGGAGGAGGTTAAGGACCAAAAAGTAGTGAAACCAAACGGGGGTATGAAATCAGGAAATGATACTGACTTGTGGTGGTTCAGTCTTCCTTATGTTCTTGTATGTATATGGATCAATGATCACTTCTTACTTGTTTGTTTTCGACAGCTTGTATTCCCACTATTTGTGGTTCTAAGTATTACAGCAAACTTGGTGATGTCAAAAGAAAAAAAAATGATTTGAGCTCTGTTTATATTTTGAAAGGTGGGAAGTCTGGGAGGAAGCTAATTTGTTGAACTGAAACCATGTGATGTTACTGCAGTTTACTTGAACTTGGGATCATTGCCTTGTTTTTTTTTTTTTTTTGGATAACTGTGATCCTTGTCTTATCATGTGAGGAATATTTATCAGATTTTATGTAGCATCGTGCTAGAAGTGCTTTAACCAGACATTTTTATTTCCCTTGCATATTGTATAACCTTACCCTCTTTCTTTGGTTGTTGCTCTCCTCAATAATTTCGTTTCATATATTTCACGGATTTCCCTTACTGATGCACTTGCATATTTGTGTTAAGATCAGAGAACTTTTCTAGTTGGTATATTGCTGACATCCGGTTGTTTAAGTAACCAGTAATTCAGTATAGCAAGAAAGATATTTGACATTGCTCTTGTGTGATTCATTGACCTTATATTGGATATTCACAGTCAAAATTTATATGTTAATGTGTTTTGAATGGACAAATCTTAATCCTATGTCAGATAGATATGTTTTTGTTTCCTGTCCTGTCTGTTTCCAATTTTCCAAAGTCTGAATAAATGTGTTTGCTGTGGCTTTTGCTTCATGCTTCTGTTACTAACGTGCATGTTAATATGCAGGTTATACGCATGCGCAGAGGTCATGAAGATGAAGGACCAGAAGGATTATTTGCCATAAAAAGTAGCTCTAATGTGAATGGTAGCTCATCTCATACAGTTGCCTTTGAAGATCGTGGTGATGCCACCAATTTTTGTTATCTCTTGGAGTCCTCCTTTGACGATTTAGGAGACTTCAGTGCTGAAATTGTCCCTTTTCCTGTTAAAGTAAGAATATTAAGCTTGTCTGAGTATCTTTATGTTATTTCCATGTATTGCATTCTATTCCAATTGCATTTTGAGGACCTTATTAATTTTTTGATAACAACCACCCTACTACCCTTTCAAGGACTATTAGTACTGTTGAAAGTCCACTAAAGGAAAGTTGGTTAATTTGTTACTCTGAAAGAGTGACAGTATCTATGAACCTTTGCATGTGTAACTGAATTTTCAACTTGTGTATGTACCATGCTATTTTTAATTCTGATCATTCACTTATTAAGAAGGCATAAAATACTTATATTTTCAGGAACTTATCGAGGCAATTAGATCGCATGCTATGAAGGCAATCGTTGTGAAGAAGGGGAAACTGAAGCTTTATGCTGGACAACCATTAACTGATGTTGAGATGGTCTTGCGCTCATTGGTTGAACCAGAATAATCTCTGTTGAAGAAGAATAGATCCTTTGTCTCTCTGGAGAAATTTTGGTGATATCTATGCTAATGAGATTGAAGCTGCCCGTCCTTGATTGCAGCAGATACAAGAAATGAGGGTCTCTCTATCTTAATTCTTATCAATGGACAAACATCATTTTATCTGTGGGATACAATCTTGTTTTGCGTCACTTGAAAAAATCATTGAAAGATCAAATAGAGCTTTTCATTTTCTTACTAGGGGCTACCCTTTTTCTGTCTATTTATGAGGCTTGGAGAACTCATGCACAATGTGCATTTGTTGAGAATGTAAAACATACACAACGCCACATTATTTCTGTGATTTTCCCTTTTATTTGTGGTTGTACTTTTCTATTGCATCATTGTTGGGTGAGAAAACTTTTGCAGCGGATTGCTAAGATGTCAGTTACCTATTATGGATTGCTAAGCTGAAAGAAGATTTCAATCATAGTCATTGCAGCAAGCTCTGTGAGTTATATTTCACGAGGCATTGTTTTTATCATCAGCATTTTTAGAGTTATGTGATCTTGTGGTCGAAAAAATTGAAAAATAGAGCCTATTTATTTGAGTAAAGTTGAAAAGAAATGAATATTTTAAGTTCAGTTGAACAAAAGTATTTGGTGCAGTTGAAATTGTTTTTGACACGAACCACTTTGGAAAAAATGTTGAAGACTTGTGAGTGAAAACTATTATTTCACTTAAATTACTTCTCAAACAAACTTTTGGGAACAAAATGATAATACATGAAGTAGGCTCACTCAACAAGAGCTTTTACTGCTATTACTCTGTCTTTTATAAAGTTTACTAGGAAGATACAATTTTAACCATGGCTTGTGCATGAATAGCTGGAAGATTAGACTGGCAAAAGTCTTGCCATGTCTCTTGTTTCTGCTCTTCATTCTCTGTTAACGCCTCGTATACTGAAACCACTATACTTCTAGCTGCTTCTCTTGCCTCAGGAAGTCGATCATTAAGCAAATTTACAGCAGTTTGAACCAAAGAAACGAATCCAAACTCCTCCATTCCATTCCGTTCCTAGAATAGAAATGCCAACCGTTAGTTTGTGTTAGCTAAATGCTGCAGCAGTTACATTCTGGAAAGAAATCAGTTGTAAGTTCAAGGGAATGTATAAGTTAACCAACCATTTTAGAAACACAATCTGAAATTGAGACTGCAGCTTTTGCTCTGATTCTCATGTTGGAATGTTTCACATAGGTATGAAGCTTATGGAGCAAAGGAAGAGGAGTCATTGACTCCACCATTGCCTTAAGTGCCTTATCTGCTTCTTCACAAACAAACTTCTTGTCTTGAGAAGCCTTCAGCAGCAGCTGCAAAAGCTGTAAAAAGCCATACACAATCAAATTAAATCCGTCATTAGACAGTCACTAGAACGTTACAACTCTATAAGAGCAGATACGTACCACATTTTCGAATGCATCAGAAATAGGCGATTCGAATAACTTATCACCAAAAGCTTTGAAGATATCAGCTGAAGCCATGACAGAAGTCTTGCAAAGAGCACTTCTTGGATTTTTCATTGACTTAACAATCACCAACATAACTTTGTCCCTACCATTGCAAAAACCACATAAAAATAAGTAAAAAAGAAACCCCATCTCTCATCCCACAAATTCAAACACCTAAAATCAAACAACACAATTCCCATAAATTCAATAATGAACTTACAAAATTGGCAGCAAGAGAGCAGAGTGAAACAACACAAATCGCCTAGTATCATTCAGTGAGTGACAAATTTCCAACCAATCTTTAGATTCCAACCCTTCAACAAGTCCCTGAAATTTACAAAAGAAAAAGTCAATCAAAATGGTTATAAAATCTTTAATTTCAAGAAAGAGAGAAGAAGCAACAGCAGATCCAAGATTTAAACTTTATAAATTCAGATTCAGAATTCTACCACATCATGTCTAATTTATTGGGTTCAAATTGATTATTTAGTGAATCTTTTAACGCGTACATACGACGTGGATGGGGTATAGCTTTTTTACACAATGGGGTAAAATTAACCTACAACAATAGGTAACTATAAGCTATTTCTATCAATCTGAAAAATTGAGTGAAAACCTGTTATAACAAGTTAAATTATACTGAAAGTGTAAAATATCTTTACATTGATGGTGTATATAACTTAAATCCAGAGAAAAATAGAGTTACCTGGATTTTGCTATCTGGGTCGGGAATAGGTTCAAGATTTTCAGATGGGATGTAATCAACGGTGGAATCTGGCACAGGAGCCTTGTTTTCATCATTGACAACAACTTCAGACGGTTTCTGATTATGATTTACTGCTGCTATGACTTTTGCTTGTTTTTTGGGTCTTTCAAGTGCAACAGGGAGAGCGTTATCGAGAGATCTGAGTGCCATTTGAAAACTTGGATTGGTTTTTGTGTTTTGGAGAATGAGCAAGAGAGTAATTTTATGAATGAGATTTGGAGTTTGGGTGTAATAGAAAAAGGAAAGATATTTGCAACGGTCAGTTTTGAATTTGAAAATGAAAGAAAATGAAAAGGGATCATAAGAAAAGGAGGAACTTTTGTGTAACGGTCACATTCTTTAGAGTTTTGCGACAAGGAATCTTATATAAACGTTGATGATTTCATTTTTTTTCATTTTGAAAGAGTAAAGGTGGGATTTTCCTTTTTTTTCTTTTAGGATTTAAGTTTATATATATTAACAATGTATACATAGTTTACATTATTTATATAGTTTAACATGTAACAGTAACTTATTACTTACTAGGTTATATTATTTGTACGGAGAAGGGTCAAATATATTCCTGTATTTTCAAAAAAAGTTTTAAAATACCCTCCGTTATATTATTTGGTCATCTCAACCACTACCGTTATACTATCATTCAAATATACCCCTCAATTGGACGGACTGCCACGTGGCGCCTCAGCATTAAAGAGACCCATCCCTTTTTTTCACCTGATTCATTTCTCCTCTACCCATCACCCGACCCAAGTCGGCTATTCTTAGAAAACCCTAAACGAGTGGAATCAACTTCCATCGATATCTTCTCTACTTTTTCTCTTTTCTTTTCCATTTCCTTTACCTTTAATTTCTACTAATTTTTTTCTTACTCCTTACCTGTTATAAGAAACGATTATGTATAGTCCATAGATTGATTTTGGGTTTACATGGAATTAGAAAATTTTCTATCCATATATCTATCAACCACATCTAATGAGAGAGCAAAGTATTTTGGTTTTTGAAAGGCGAAATGGCCTTCTGGCCACTTAAACTTGCTCTCACTTGTAAAGCCGATACACAAACTTACACCGTTCCCATTTGAACACTCAAACTCACGTATTTGGTAACTAATAAACCTATTTGATCGTTGACCATGCACATGTGGCAGTGGCAGAGGTGATGTGGACAAAGAGTGTGCAAGTCACATAAATTAGGCGCGTGACTACAATTATTTTAATTTAAAAAAATCTAAAATAAAAAAAAATTGCAGATGAAAAGGAAAGAAAATAAGCCCCCACCCCACCTTGCCCCCACCCTAAATCAGTAATACCATTATTCCCCTAACCTCTTCCTGTTTCTTTTCCCCTTTTCCCGTTGTCGTCTGCTCCACACCTCTCCCTTCTTTTCTTTCTCTCCCACTCCAATCTTTCCCCGCCTCTTCCTCTTTTTATTTCAAACCCATCGTAGTGAAAAACAAAGAAAAGCAATGAATTTTGTCAAAAAAATCTGTTAATCCTTTCTCTCACATTAACTCCCCCTCTCTTTTTTGTATCCATCTCAGACTAGAAGATAGATAGAGAAAAGACCATCGAAAAATTATCGAGTTTTAGCCGAAAAATCCCACTTACAGAGTCCGACTTCTTCTCTCTTTCTGATTTCACAATTCATGTCCTTCTTGGACATAGCCTCGCCGACTCTCTTGATGCCTTGGCAGAATTTTAACAGGTGCCCCATCGACTTTTTGACTTGGGGTATGAATTCTATGGATTTTATTATAAGTGAAAGATGAAATGGATTTTATGGAAATTCATGGCTGATGAGGCATGCGGTCAGGTTATGGCTGAGATTTTTTTCTCGGACTGCAGCGCTAAAAGTTGTAGAAGAAATAGTGAAAGAAGTAAAATAAGAAAGAAATTTTGATAAATTAGTTTAAGGAAAAGGGACCCACAAATGACACATGTAAAATAATAAATGGTCTTAGAATTTGACGTGTTCTTCCTGCCAGGCAATTGAGCTACACGCTCTGATGAAGGGGTTTATTTATACTCAATTGGTTGAGTTGAGGTGCTAAAATGGGAAAATCAAAAGTTTATATATCGGCTTTAAAATCCAGTACAGGTTTAAGTGGCCACGAAGCCATTTCGCCTTTTTGAAATCATGGCCTTACTGAAGAAGAAAAGATACCCATCTTCTCTGGCATCTATTCTTTTGGCATGAATCTTGGGCTAAAATTTGAACCAAACATAAATAGATTTCCAAGAACAAGAGGACTCGGATTCGATTACAAAAATTTTAAGGCTCAAGTTTGCATTTTTATCAGATAAGTAGAAGGCAACCACATCATGCCTGCAAAATCACCTGTGGATTGTCTCAATGCTTAACTTTGTCAGCATAGAAATTGAAAATCATCACTACCTCTATATATTACTCAAAAAGAGGAAAACGAAATGTTCCAAAAACACACGCATAAACGCAAATTTATGGCTGAAGTTGTGGATCGAAAATATATTAAGATTAATGCCTATTTTTACATGAACATAGTGACATATTCAAAGTATTTCATGAACAAGGTTGTTGGTTTGGTTGCTAAGGAAAATCATTATTGTGAAATGAGGGGTTTAATTGGATAGGACTATTTTTTACGTGGATGGATACGGGTCTAATTAGGGTCGTGTTAGTATGGAACCGGGTAACTTAATTTGGGGTGGGTCTCTTTAATTTTCAGGTTCCACGCGGCAGTCCGTCCAATTGAGGGGTATATTTGAATGATAGTATAACGGTAGAGGCTAAGAAGACCAAATAATATAACGAAGGATATTTTTAAACCTTTGTTGATAGTATAGGGATATATTTGACCCTTCTCCATTATTTGTATACGGTCGAAATCGGGCCTACCCCATTTTGCTATTTGATCGAAACAAAGGATATGCATCGGGGGTAACCTCATAATGAATCAGACCCGAGCTTGAAGACGAGGCACTGAGTCCAAAGATCGAAATGTTCGTCGAGACTGAGGCCAGTAGCAATCAAGACTAAGTATGAACGACTTCGAGTGAAATGCAATAACGAAAAGGTGAAATATCCGTAACCGGTCAGAGATCACGGGGAAAATCTCAGAGCAGATCAAATCAGGGGCGGTTATTTGTATCAATCATGGGATTTATTTTCGTAATTAGTATTGTACCACGATTAGGATTCCTCTAGTATATAAAGAGGGGTCCCATCATTTGTTAACACTTTTACATTCATACAGATCGAAGCAAAATAATATTTCTCTATTGTTCATCAATTTATTGTTCTTTAACTGTTCTTGCTTTATTAGAGGGTTCATTAGCCCGAGGACGCTGTTCAAACATCGGTTTGTTTTATATTCTTGTAAATTTCATCACTTATCTCTAGATTAATCAATTGGTATTAAGTGAAATCACGTATCCTTAAAATCATATTACAAGTTTAATTGTTACTCGATTTTTAGGGTAAATAGTTTGGCGCCCATCGTGGGGCTAAGGATAATAGTGATTGCTTAATATTTTAGCCTTCATAACACACACTACTTTTACGCTTTTTCTTGTGAGTATTTTTTGATTTCAGGAATCAACATGTAAAACTCTCAAGTAGTACCCACTCATACTGACACCAGCCTTGGTCTTCATGACGAAAACGAGCACGTAGTCGCCCTGGGAAACGGAGTGCCTCCAATCAATCCTGACGCACCACAGGCCGTGGATCCGGTTGACGTCAATTTTCATGTCTCCATTCGTGGAGATTTAGGCGCTGACCTTGAAAATAGCATTCGCAAAGATGCCCGAGCAGCCGATCGGAACACACAAAATGGTGAAGAAGGCAGAATTAACCTTCGAATGATATTTGACATGCTACAAACTCAGCAGGCCGCGATAGCCCAACTCCAAAATCAGAATCGAGCCCCAAGCAGAATCGGACTCGATACATTACAGGAAGTTGCTAGGGTCGAACCCGTGCAGGAAAAATTGAATGATAATGGATCGAAAACTGATCCCGCCATCATGAAAATGCTCGAGGAGCTCACTAAACGGATAGAATCAGGTGAAAAGAAAATCGAGGCTGATGACAAAAAGGTAAAAACATACAACTCACGAGTTGATCAAATACCGGGGGCACCCGATTCTAAAGGGTTTGGATTCAAAGAAGTTCGTGCAGAAGCCTTTTCCTCAAAGTGGCTCTGAAGCCCATTCCTAAGAAGTTTCGTATGCCAGACATCCCCAAGTACAACGGGACCACCGATCCTAATGAACACATCACTTTGTACTCATGCGAAATAAAAGGAAATGACTTAGAAGATGATGAGATTGAATCCGTTTTGTTGAAAAAATTTGGAGAAACTTTATCAAATGGGGCAATGATATGGTACCATAATTTGCCGCCCAATTCCATAGATTCTTTTTCCATGATCGCTGATTCGTTCGTAAAGGCGCAAGCCGGAGCAATAAAGGTCACAACCAGGAAGTCGAACCTCTTCAAAGTGAGACAGAAGGACAATGAAATGCTAAGTAAATTCGTATCTCGATTTCAGATGGAACACATGGACCTAACCCTGGTTATAGATGATTTGGCTGTCCAGGACTTTACTCAGGCTTTGAACGAGCGAAGTTCGATTGCATCACGTCAACTAAAGCAGAATTTGATTGAATATCCAGCGGTGACATGGAGCGATGTGCATAATCGGTACCAATCGAAGATCAGGGTCGAGGATGATCAGTAGGGAGCTCCATCCGGTTCCGTTTACCCAAATAGATCCGAAGGCAGGATTCAAAGGGACATCGACAGAGAGCCCCGATCGAACAGAGATCGATACTAACCATATAGTGCATATCGAAGGAAAAATGGACCGGGACGTAATCCCATTCGAAATGATCGAGGTCAAAATTCTCGAGGGCTCATGAGTAAGAATGGCTTCGATAAACACGTCGAGCCTAAGGAAGCACCACGGTTATCAGAATACAACTTCAACATCGATGCTTCAGGTATTGTGTCAGCCATTGGACGGATCAAGAATACTAGATGGCCCAGACCCCTACAAACCGATCCAGCTCAAAGGAATCCGAATCAAGTGTGCAAGTACCATGGAACCCATGGTCACAAAACCGAGGACTGTAGACAATTAAGGGAGGAGGTAGCTCGTTTATTCACGAAGGTCATCTTCGAGAGTTCTTAAATGACCGAGCAAAAAATCACTTCAGAGACATGGATGCAAACAGGAAAAACGAACAGGAGGAACCACAGCACGTGATTCATATGATCATAGGTGGGGTCGATATCCCTCAGGGTCCGACATTTAAATGCACCAAAGTTACAATCACAAGG